ATTTCCCTGAAACCACACCAGGGAGCCTGTTTATATTCTAGTGATGTAGCTAAGCCAGACAAGTCTGCGGCACAGCATCTATTTTTAGACTCTAGGTTGCCATTTATAGCTTGTGAAAATATTCATCAGCATCTGGATAACCAGCTATCAATTTTTATAAATGCACAGGAGAAATCAGATATTTCACTTCTCTTTGCTTTGCCCTTTTATGTCCTGCCTTATGTGGTTCTTTGGGATCATTTGGAATTTAAGGGCTTTACCGTGTCACCATACATTTGCCTGCTGTCGCATACAGCACCCTGCATTTTCTGCTGGGATGATCAGTGTACAGAAGAGAACCTTTTGCTAGCTACTGTGTCTTCACGTGTAAAGAAGCTGCATGTGAGATTATGGTGCACCTTGTGCAGTGATGGAAGCAGCACATTCTGCCTCCATCTTGTATGATTACAATGAGTACAAGGAGGTAATTTTGAAAAGCAGATATGAAGAGGAAATATAATGGTTTGAAGACATCTTTTCAACCTTATTTTCTACCTATGGCATAACAACTAAAAACTCATAATTCAGTTCATTCGTCTGAAAATTTTGTTATTGGCTACTGCCAAAATATGAGGTACTGAACTAAATTAAAGAGTTTCTATTATAAGGGAAAGAAGGATATTGTAGCAGCCAGGTCCTTGCTTTGGTTCACTATTCTGGTTAAAGTCTTACAACCAAATGGTACCCTCATTTATATCAGTTTTTAACTAGTCTGATCAATAAACTATCTAGCAGCCAATTACATGGTTTTCTGTCTCGATCCAGTCCATCATACACTTCCAGTGCTACTGGTTTTTGATGGATGGCACTGGCCAAAACAGTGATTTGACTTATGTTTGTAACTCTTACTTTCTCTACTCCCTTCCTGAACTGAAAGGAAAAAGAGGTGCAAATATACTTAGAAGGGGTGCTGCAATAGCTCCCACTGAGGGATAAGAGACACAAGGAAATTCAGTTAGGTGAGAGTTCCCTTAAAGAAACTATTAATATGGCAGAAAGATGCAGATAGAAACAATCTGCCAGTGTGTGTTTCCACCTCCCTAAAGCTTTCAGCTGTCATGGTCTGCAGAGGCATTAATCTTTAATCAATTGAATGCCTTCTGCAGAGAGGCATCCAGGGAAAGGACAGGTCATAACAAGCACTCGCCTAGAATAACTAAGCAGTCGTGCATGAGCTGTGCCATCAGACCTTGCTGGATAGCAGCAGGGAATAGACAGAGAGCTAAAAATAACCTTTCCTTGCAGTGTTTTTCCAGACTATTTTTGATTCTTCATTTTGATAAGGTCGACTGGCTATTTGCTAAAAATAACCAATCCTGGCAAACTGAGGACAAAAAGTAGAGTATTTATAACCTCCTCAGACTCTTTAGTACATTTGCTGGCTGCAAATAATCTAGGATCTTGTCATCAGTCAGTTGCCAGCATTTTATGTAAGTCAGTAATAAACAAAGCATTAATTGGAATGGAAAATGAGTCTATCTTGCCACTCTGATTTTCTCAGATGGAACACATATTCTGTATATAATCCTTGTAGGTTACCTTGCCCTATTCTTCATTATGTGGTCTGAATTGCTTCAGAAATAAACAAAACAAGTTCTTGTTAGGTCAGCCAATCTTACAAAAATAGCTGCATAAGTAATTAAAGTGCAAAAGCAGTTTTGTGTGCCTGATACTTCCGATGCAGAAATTCTCAGGGGTGCGATTCACATGGCTTCCTCCATGAGAGGTTTTTTAGCATAGAGCCCCTGTGTGCCACTATCTCTCTGATGAAATGAAATCACCACTCTGCCAGCAGGATGAGAGCAACAGAGGGATTCTGTAACCAAGTAACTGGAGGAGGACTGCAAAGAAATTGTCAGTATAAATGATAGTTTGACCCCAAGGCAGGTTTCAAGAAACTGAGTCATTATGGGGATGGGGGAAACACACAGCAGTCAGCTCAACTGTGTGACCTGTTGGATGTTCCAAGATAGAAAGGCAACAATTAAAGGATTAACATTTATTAAAAAATATATATAGTCTATCACACAGTACATTTGAGCAACTTCCTTTCTTCAGTTAAGGTGGAAAACTCTTAAGTTATCAGTGAATATTTTCCCTTACAGGTATTTTGCTTAGGACCTATTAAATTTCTGTAAGGAAAAACTTACTTTCACAGATTCTTTCTGTAAGTATGCATGATTTTTCATAAATACTTATCTTGAATGGGCCCCACTTATGTTGTCTGCTTAACTGCAATGTAACACAGGTTAGTAATTTCGAGATTTACAGATTTTTTCCTTCCCAGAAACATGAAATGTCAAGTGTATACCTGAAATGTATGTTATGGAAGCTTCTATGACAGAGAGCAGTCCTGGACAGGAAATTCCCACCTCTACCCTAAAAGTATTGAATACTTCTCTGGAGAAGAGACAGAATGGGCAAGGGGGCAAAGGAGGGGGCAGAGGAAGAGGGGGACAGAGAGAGTGACTATAACATGGCAAGGACCTTGAAACCATCTAGGATCCTTTCTGTGCTAAAATGAATGATAACTGGAACATAAATATTGTGTGCAAAGTGGATTTGATCATCTTGTATGATTACAATTAGTACAAGCAATGAAGGCACAGTGTTATACTAATTTTGGTGGAATTTCTTGTTTTAGATGAAATGCAGAAGTTTTAAAAACAGATCTGACTGGCTTCATTTGAAGTGCTGCTCTCTTTGCCTATCACTTGACAAACAGGTCAAAAAAAAAAAGTGAGGGCAGGGACAGCATGGGAGAATCCTTAATCTTTTCTCGATGTTTTTTGTCAGTAGAGGTTTGCCACAAAGAAGAAGAAAAGGCCATTAATGAGAACTATGAGACACATCAAGCAGAGAAAACATCTAACATGAAGGTAGCAGAAAGAACAAACAATTTGTACAGGCAGAACCTGTGTTTTTCCTCTCGGGGTAATCTTAGAGCAAATCTTAGAGCAAATAGGAATTGATTTAGTTTCTATATACATATCCACAGGATTTTCTACATGTTTACCACTTCCTGTAAACCAGTTAAGGCCATTTACAAAATTTATGGGATTTGCACAGTCAAAAAAACCCATTTTTTTTCCAACAGCAATCTCATGACCATGTTTCTCTCCTGCCTCCTTTCCAGTTATATTTATATTTTCTGTGACCAAACTGACATTCCTCAGTGGAGAGGTCCTAAGGCAGGTGTTAAAATTGAAAATAACATGGAAAATACTCTATGTGTGTGTTCTGTTGAGTTACAGCAAGCTCAGATGTGACTGTCAGCCATACTGTACTAGCTGTGAGGATTCTGAAAGCACGTCATACCCTCTTTCCTGCAGAAGCATGCTTTACTAGCTGAAACCACACAGAAACAGTACAATAAACCTGCTTCCTGAGCAGTAAATATATATGGGTGAAAAATATTATATAAATTGTTACTTTTGTATATTCGTATACTCCAACAGAAAGAACGACTAGAACAAAAGAAAATGAGGAGTAATTAATGGGTTGAATTTGCTACAGGGATTCCCTAAAATATCACTTTAACTAATGTCTCACCTTATTCTTGATTTCAAAGAACTTGATCCCTAAAATTTTGTTGCTCATGTCCTCCTTGGGGTACATAAATAAGAGGGGGAAAATCAGGAAGTCCATTTGTAATTTGGCTGTACATCGCACTTCCCATTCCATTAACGACACCTGTCTTCTGCTATAGCTTTCTTTGTGGACTTGGAAATATTGTCCATGGACAAATGCCAAACTAGTTAGCAAATATTCTGTTTATAACTGTCCCTTATACTGATCTTACCTGTCACCTCACCAGCCTGGCCTCAGCACTGAAGGAGGAGCTGGTTACTGCCCACAACAGTCAAAAGCAGCACCATCTTCTCTTCAGCCACTGCTCAGACTTTCCTTCCCCTGTCCAAGCTGTTCTCTGCCATCACCACACAGCAAACTGTGGTTGCATTAATTGCCTATGCTTTGGTAATTTGGTTTATGATGCAGATGTGTTTTTGTCACTCATGCCCATCTGCCAAAATCTATGAGGGAAAAGATGCACTTCTATTCATTTTTCATGAGCAATTTCCTTCAATTCTTGATTAATATGTATGCAGAAAAACAAGCTCCAATTTCTTTAGGATACCTAAATTTTATAGTACCAGAAGTTAAATAGTTTTTTATCTGTGAAAGAGGCCTTCTAGTTGAAATACTCTATCACCAGCATACAGAAAACAGTTTCTTAAAATGGGAAAGAGGAGGAGACAGAAGAATACCATTTGGTAAAAAAAGAATTCCCCTGCAAACTGAGAAACACAGAAAAAAAATTGCATTCAATATTGTGATAATGGTGGAAGGTGCGTCCTTGGATGCCTGTGGTAGGGGACAGAAGCAGCTGTACCTACAGGTACACCTAACATGATGGCAGAAGCATTCTCTGCAATCTTTTGCCAATACATGTTGTTGTTAACCACAAGGGATGGACTTCCAGGAATAGAAAAATGCAAAAACAACATCTACTTTCTATTGCCTCTCCATTTGTAGCTCTTTTCTGGACATTCTGCCAAGAGGCCAATGAGTGCATCTTATTTATAGGAATATAAAAAAGAAGAATAGAAACAAAACCAGGCATTTCACCAGCCAAGGGCAGTGAATACTGTCTGATCTGAGGTCAGACTGGAAACCAACTCCAAACAAAATGATTTAAAGAACTCAGTCTACATGACTATGGTCCTAAGAGCCTCAGTTATGAAGATGAATCGATGCACATGTTTATATACCCTTAGCTAGGGCTAAGTTAGGGCTGACACTAGATTCTATCTCCCAAAAACACCTCTTTGAGACAGCTGGCCCCCAAATAGTTATATCTGACCATGATTTAAGAAAAGGGAAACCTCACATAACTTAATCTAGAATCTGTTTTTGGAAAGTGTGAAGAAGAATAAAAAATTACACCACAGGACTTTATAAGAGAGTTAAGAGCATATTCATTAGAAATTAATTAAATATAAAATACAATCATGCTGCAGAACAGAGAGCAGCACACAAACAAGACACCCCCCCCCTTCCCTACCCTCACCCCAATCCAAGGAAACACAGCTATATAGTACAAATCAGAGATCTCAAACAGAGGGGAGAGGAGGGGGCCTACAAAGTAATTTTCTTGCTATACAGAAAATATATTATTTGCTGGAAGTCACTACTGAGTTGTTAGGAGCCCAGGGTCAGTTGCTGTTCAGGAAAGCCCCTGCAGGCACACTGACCCCTACTGCTTCCCCACCAGTTTGCTGAACACATCATAGATCTCTGGCTTTTCCTGGGCAAACTGCTCGGCTGTGTTTTTCTGTAGCCAGTCAGATGAACGCATCTGTTGCTGCAGGAGGCCAATGAGGTCACCAAGGCTGGAGCTACTGGCACAGAGAGGGTCCTGGTGGCGGGATACAAAAATGACTTCATCTGTGCTATCTGCTTTGCCATCCTGATCTGATTGACAAGGCTGCTCCTTCTCCTCAGCCAGTATCTCCTGCTCACGCTCTTCCAAAACCTTGCGTATCCGTTGCATGCCTGCAGTGGTACAAGGAGGAGAAACACTGGTGGATTAATTTAAGCCACAAGTGTCTCCAAATCCATCAGATCCAGGAAAAGATAACGGAGCAAGTGAGAAAAAAACAGAGAAGACAAGAGGATAATAACAGCCTAAGTTTAGGATTGAGAAGAGAGGGGAATAGTGGTGCAGAAATTGTGGTGGGAGGAAAAAGAACATTACTCACCTAACTGCAGCCGGTGGGTCTTGTCAGAAAAGATGATGCGGAACCATCCAGGTTCACTGCACTCAAAGGCTTTTCCGCAGGACAGGAGGACCTTATTATCCAGAAAACGCTTCCAGAGCAGCAACTCCTCCTCAAATGTGCCTGTCTTAAGGTACTAGGAGAGTCATCAGAAGGGCCAGAGGTTAGTACCATATAGACTACATCACTGAGATCCTCATGAATTTGTGATTCCCATAAAGTCTGCAAAGGCCAAGGGAGACACCTTTTACCTCTGAAGTACAGCAGTTGTGATACAAAGGAAGAAATGGGGAGGGAAGTGGCTTGAGAGTAGTAAGATTCCTGCAAGGAGGGAAGTTCACAGATTGACAAAAGGAAAAGAACAGACTGAAACATCTGGTAGTCCTTCCCTCTCCTCATCCGACGACAGATTTGTTGAAATAAAATTCTTGTCACAATATTAAGTCTTCCTCTAGATGCAGTTGCACTACATGCCTGCCCTCACCCCAGGAGAAGCCTCACTTCCCAAAACTACCAACCTTTCGGAAATCAATCCAGACAAAGAAGCCTGCATTGCGGTTGAGAAAAGGAACCCCAAGTGTCTTCAGCTCATCTGTCACATACGTATGGGCAGCTTTTAGGCGGGCATGGTTGGCCCTCAGGTACACCTGGTTGATCCAGTCTGACCAGAAGAAGAAGATAAAGAATCACAAACTGAGGAAGTATTCAGATCTGTTGAAGCTTTGAAAACGCCCAGCTGTCTTTTTCTGCTTCACACTTTACCTCCTTCTTTTGTTTTCTGTTTCCTCAAATAACAAAAGGACAGCCAAGAAGTATTTTGCAGTTTCATGTCTGTGCAGAAGAGTATCTCCCTGACCTTCCTGAGGAAGTTTCCCTACATTTATAGTTCTTAGTCATCATGGACTGTTAGCATTCCACCCTGGGCAGAGTTTGAAGCCCATTTCCATTTCCCTTGTCCTACAAGCCTGTATTCTTTGTTTCAGCTCATCTGGTTCTGGGTAACTCTGGCAATTTCTGTATAAATAGCTACCATACTTCCTCCAAGCTGCTCCTCTAACTCTGCTGATCAGCAGCTCTGCATAAATGTGCTTTTCTGCAGAGCTGTCAGCCTTGTGTTGCATGGGCAGTTTCAGGGTAATGGAAGACTGTCAATTAAGGTGTACAAAGAGGAGACCACTAGGGAAAGTAAGGGAAGGGGAGATCTTCCAGGTACTAAGACACACAGAATGGCAGAAGATTGTACATGGAGCTACTGACTCACCTCTGTCTCTAAGCAGCTGTGCAACCTTGTGCTGGACAGGTCCACAAACCCCATGGAAATAACACAAAGAAGCCACTGCATTAACAACATCTTGGTTCTCTGTATATAAAGTACCAAAACGAATCCCAGAAACAGCAAAATCCTGCAGAAGGCACAGAGAGACTACTTTATTACACTGAACAACTGGGATCCTATTACTACTAACTTGATCTTTCCAGCATGAGGAACCTGAGGAGCCCAGACCAAAACCTAGCGCCACAAAGGCACAGCATGATAACAAGCAGCACTCACCTTGGTTATGCCCCACATCACGTGAGTCCGCTGTGGATCAGGCAATCTGTATGTAGAAGGATGCAGATGGGCAGTTAGTGTCATAGGTGCTGAAGCTTTTGGATCACCAGTGCAGCATTGCAGAAACAGAGAGGCAGCATTACACAATGACACACAGTGCACCACCAAACAGCAGTCAAGCAGGGAAAATTCAAATGCGACCTAACTTTTGAAGCTAGGAACCCCTTGGAAGTAGCTTTAGACAAGTTTTTAAATACTTCAAAGACACAGATGCTTACAAGTGCTACATTTTACATGCAGATTTCCTGAAGCTCGTACATTTAATGCTAGAAATCAGGCTTCTGCCAATGTATTTTGTCAAGAATCAAAAGTGATGTTCTTGTAGATCTAAGCCCAGCAAGACTGAGCTAACACTTAACCAAGTATATTTTATTTCCTTGCAACTGAGCACAAAAAGATAGCTAGTAGCACTGGTGAAGACTAAAAATTAAAAAAAAACCCAAACAACTCAACAACACACTATATTTTAAAAAATATTTTAAAAGTTCTTCTCATTAAAACAATACCTAATAAAATCCATTATCCAGTCTGTAATACTACTGTGATCTGGGACTACTCTATGGAAAATTAGAAAGTAAACAACAATAGAAAGTCTTTACAAGCATCAACAGAAACATGGGAAAAAGACGTTTAGGTAGGAAGAAGAGCCTCACCTTAAACAAAAGAAAAATCTGCTTTCTGTTTTGGGAACTGTCATAACCAAATATTGATGCACACATTGAGAAGTATACCACAATAAAAAGCTAGCTACCATTTTTTACTTGCTAGATTGTACTTGACAAAATGCATTTGCCATTCAGAAATTACTAAAAAAGGGCATAAATCAATGAATGTAAGTTGGATTGAGAATTTACTAGCTCATGACTTAACTTCCAGTCACAAGTTCTCAGCAAGGCATCATGTTGAACTGTCACTGGAAGATGGCCAGGGAAGTAGGAGCTGCTTTTACCTGTCCATGCCTAGGACACTGTGAAACGTGGCTGATTCATCAAAAACTGACAGCATGTAGATCTCATCTACTATCACATGCAATTCATGTCTGCAAAAGGACAAAATGGAGATTACAAAAGAAGGCTGCTTCTGGTTTAACAGAGATAAATTCAGGCCTCCAAATACTTGCTTTATACAAAGAAGAGGGGATGCCAAATTTTGCAGAAATAAAGCAACTTTTCTCAACTTGGATCTATTTTGTGTACATTGAAATGATTTGAGGTATATCCACTTGTCACACACTGTAACCATGTAACAAGGCAAAGATCCTATCATTGCTAATGTGAAAATTAATTCCTAGAAGTACTACCCATCTACTCAGCATCTCATAGAATCTGAATCTCAAACAGTATTATGATCCATGATGAAACCATATTCATACACTCCTTTGTCTTTACGGGTTCTGAGAAACTGGGAGGAAAAGAACTCAGCTTTCTACCAGGGAAGCCCAGTGCCATAGTGTTTCCTCGGATCACTGAAAAACAAAACTTGCATTCCTTGATACAAGCTGCTTTGCCAGCCCAGATGACTGCAGGGTCCATGATCCCAGCACTCCCCTCCCCTTTCTTAAGTCCACCAATGTGTATGAAGAACAGACTATTCACCTGACTTAAAAGATATTTACAGACAAATTCAGGGACAGCAAGTAGTCCACCAGAGTGTGAAAGCTGTATCTGACTCAGGATATCTAGGCTTTCCAAAGTGACATACCTTTTAGCAAATTCCAGGTAATCCCGTAGCTCCGACAAGGAGTAGATGTCCCCAAGGGGATTTTGGGGATTCAAAAGAATTAAGGCCCTTACAGTGACACCCTGCAGAATACAAATATCATAGTATTAAGAGAGTGCCTAGCATGGGATGAATTTTCAGTTCCTCTACTTGAGTAGTCCCTCACTTGAGTGTGACACAGGATTCCCCTGAAGCTTCCACTATGACTTTTTACCTCAAAGTTAAATTTGTACGAGAAAATTTTCAGCCACAAATTAACAATTTTTTTGTTTACAATTAATTCAGTTGCAAAGTGAAATGAGCAAAGTATTATAGAATTAATCTATGATTTTGAAAAGAGGGAATTGCCACTACCAAGTAATTGGTTGCCATCTGGTCAACCAATTAATGAGAGAGATGGTCTCACATGCTCTCAGTATGGAAGTACTTTTTCTGAGCTGCATTAGTAATTGGGAAACAATAAATTACTGAAGACTGCCCATGAAAGTGGCAAGAAAGATGAGAATTTGAGTTAGGTGGATGCAAAGTGTACTCATTTAAAGCATACTTGGCTGGACATATGGGATTTAGGACAATGCCAAACTTACAGACTAACTCTTCAGAAAAGTGATATTCACTTGCATTTTATCCTCTAGAGTTCTCTCCTGAAAAAACTTTCAGCATTCTTAGTGTATTCATCTGCCCTGCTGTGTAGAGCAAACAGTTTTCAGGTAACTCAGCTGGCCTTTCTGAGGGGGAAATCCTGGGTAGTCCCAAATTTTAGTGCATGCCCAAGTACATTATTTTTGGTTATATGAATGGGTTCCAGTGCTTTGTAAATTGTCTGGCTTATCCTTTTGTGCTGTGACCAAAACTGGACAGACATAACACTGAGGGATTCCCCCTAGAAGTGCCCCTGAGTTCACAAGCCATCACCTCAAATGATCTACAAAGACAACCAGAAAGCCAGGTGCTTGGTTTTGAAAATGCTTTGATCTTTAGGCCACATCTGGGATGTGATATCTCCAATATATTGTAAACTTAGCTGGTAATGTGAAGCTCAGCTAAACTCACCTCTGCCTGGGCATCCTGCAAGGCTTTTTCCAGTTTTTCCACTGTAAGCTGAAAAGGCCGAGTACTTGTTCCAGTAATCTGAAAGACATAAAAAGATTAAAAAGGCAAAGTTGTTTCAATAGAGACTGCCTTGAGCCACTGACAAATGTTCCCTGAAAGAAAATAAACCCCCAACAATAATGACCTAGCAACCATCTTCTTATCCTCTTATACTACAGAGAGAATAAATAAATCAATAAGTAAAATCAAAGAAAAGTCCATGACAGGCTGGCCAAAACCAGAATTTTCTTGCTACTCTCGAATAACTAAAGCAATGCAAGATCTCCATCTGCTCTTGCACCATGGGACCGCCTTCCGTAGGACACGTAGGATAACTTCTCTCTCCAAGGTTCAAAATGGTAATTTTTTTCCCTTCAAGGACTTTTACTGGGAGTAAGATACAAGAAAAGTACAAAACTGGAATTCAGATTCATGGTCTCAAGTGACTTTCTTGTAAGCCAGGCATCCATTTTCCCAGCAATAAACTGTGTAAATGTCCACTGGCTCTAGTGTACCCTTGTTCTGAAAACTGCTTGCAGACATTCCCAAAGCTCAGCTTTCCAGTTTAACTACAGAGATTGTTATTCCCTTCTCCCAGATCTTACCTTACTGTCTAAATAGACATACACCAGCTTGACATTACCATAGAGGAAGATACTCTGGGTAATACCACCATAACAGGGAGTAGCAATCAGAATAGCTTCTGGAACCAAAAAAACAAAGTTAGTTACCAACAGGTCACAGTCTTCTCTCCTAATGTGCTTTAGCTAAATATGAAAGCATTTTTTACAGCTGTGTCCCTTGGAAAAACTGTAATTCTACTGCCTCTTTCTTCACTTTATTTTTACATTAACTCTTTAATCTTCTGCAAGTGCCCAGGTAACCATGAGTATAGCCCATGTCTAGTCTGGCAAACTAAAAAAGGGTACCACAAAAACAGTGAAGGCAGACAGGGCAGGCATCAAGTGTGAGTGCATGACATCTGCAGACCACAGAATTGAAGAATTTCACAGCACTACTTTGCAGGAAACAAGAACTGTGCAGCAGGCCAATGCTAATTCCACTACTTCACTTCTGTCTAACAGTATTTAAACAAATTAACATTATTTTCCAGCAGAAAAAAACAAAACAAAACAAAACAAAACAAAACAAAACAAAACTATGTTCCAACCATCCACTTACCCCCTGGATCACAAAGGACTGTAGCTAATGCAGAAAATAAAGAGCCACAACCATTTAAAACAATCACCTAGAGAAGAAAGAGAAATGCTAGTGATAAATCCATACATAGAAAGTCAACACCATAAAGCAATATCACTGACAATATCAATGAAATATTCTCCCTAATTCTCCTTTAGGATTTTCCTGCTGAAATTCCACTTCTACCAGAATAACTTTAATCCTGTTCTTTCACAGATACTTTGTTCTAGTGCCATTTTTCATTCTAATAAGTAATTTAGAAAAAGAATAGGCTTAAAGTAGGGAAAAAGCTGGGGAGCAGTTCTGCGATCCTAGTAAATCAAAATACTTTTCAACAGTTAATATGTGTTATCATTTCTTCATGGTAACAGCAGCTCTGACCTCCTGCCAAACTTGTGCAAAAGTGGGAACTGCTGTCTCGTACAGAAGCAGGTTTGACTCCCTCTTCTACAGGACAAATGCTTACAGGTACCATGAGTTTTATTCCAAGTATCAGGAAGAATCTGGTGCCTTGAAGAGGCAGTGATCAGCAATCTGATCAGTGGTAACCTCAGTTCACAGGAAGCATGGGGTTCTGTTGAATTGCAGCCAGGAAAGCAATGCCTGCACCAGCTCCTGCTGCCTTCAGCACTCAGCAGAGACAGGAGCTCCTGACCTCCACAGGCCCCTTTGTCCAGGCTGTATCTCTCACAAGTCAGCAAGTCCTGCAGAGATTCAGGTCCTGATGTCTTTCTAGCAACACTGCCACAAATTTTACAGGCTAAAACTAACTCTTGGTTCAATTACAAATCTCTGTCTTGAGGTGTAACAGAGGAATGCAATGACATGGAACTCAACTGAAACAGTGGGCACTCTTTGCCAAGGCTGAGGGATAGAGGCAGAGTAGGTCCCTGAGCTAAATAGGGAGATCAAAATGTAAAGCCCCATTGAGAGTACCAGCAGGAGGAGTTGGCACACAGAAGTGAAACATGAGGCAAATATACAGTAGGCCAGTAGGTGAAAGTGTGCATCAAAAGCAACTGAAATGCAGAATCAATCTCATTTACATGATAACAGCTTGCATTCTTACCAAATCATTTGCTTAAAAAAACAGAATTTGAAACTCTGCCCCAACAAATGGCAATACATTAGAATAGACACCAATGGGCACTGGGTTACCTACATTCTCTGCTTTGAGAGGTGCAGGGGCCTTGCAGTAATAGGTCAAAAATCGAGCCACTTCTTCCCGTAAACTGAAAAACACACGAAAGCAAATACTGATTCAAATATTCTCCAAGAGGCTGGGCTTCCAAACCAGGTTCACATCTTAGGAAAGTCAAGTCAGGGACAGTACAGTCTGGTGAAAATAGCTAGAAAACAGGATAGCTCTGGCCCATGGAACAGACATGATTTTTACACCCCATAGAGGTGCTAGAGATAATGTCTATAATCGTGCATATATATCTGATGAGCTTTAATCTGGCACAGAAAAGGAGGATTAACAACCCCAAGTGTTCACTATGTTTCAAAGAATTGTTTAGAGTTGCCCAATTTGTTAATATATACAAGTGCTTTTAAAACTCTGCTTCAGAAAATTTGCATCTTCTCTCACATAAAAGGATTTTTAACTGGATGAGCTGGTAGGCCAGCTAATGTAAAGTTTAGTAAGAAAAAGATGATTTAAGTGACCTAGAAACATTTTAACTAGAGAATGTAGCAGAAGAGGTTTGTATTCATCCATTCTGTTTATTAAACAAGTAGTCAAAAAGAGAAGTGTTACAGAAAAGACTTACAACAGATGTCCTTTCCAGTCAGGATACTGAAGCAGTGAAGGGTCCATGAGATTCATATCAGCCTGTGTCAGCTGGGAAAAATGCAAAGAATCATTAAAAGCCCAGTTACTGATAGGGAAAATATGGAGATAGACAGGATCCTTGCACAGGCACACATCTGCGCAGACACTTGTGCAATTTCAACAGTTGTAAAACTGGATTGGGAAAGCTACTGATCATCAAAATTAATGCAGCCTAGAGAAGCAAGGACCAGCAAACTGATCTGTGATATCTTCAGTTTGTATGAACTACAGGCTTCTGCTAAGTTACTGCAGCCAAAACTTCTCTGCACAGAAATCTACAAAAAGGATGCAGAACAAGCAACATAAAATGCCCATAACCAAGGCGTCTGCAAAAGACTTTCTCAGCAAATGAAGCAAAACCAAGAGTGTTTTGCCCAAGCTTTGAGGACAACAGCTTTTGGCTGGAAAAATAAGTGCCAGTTGTGAAAGCTCAGGTCCAGACTGTCAGAAAGAGTTAGAAATGAATTTGAATTGGAGTCAGATATGCATTTTCCTTAATTAACTTTCAATCTATTAATTTTTTTAATGAATTACAGCTTTCATTTATGTCTCAGTTCAAAGTTATGGCAGATTCTTCAGATTTATTTTTCTGATCAGTTTGGTAAATGTTGAAGTGTAACAGGAGCTTTCAAAAGACATGAGAAGATGGAAATTATCTTCCTAATAATTATTCCCCAGGACAGGCACTTTGTTCCTTATAAGAAGTTCATTGTGATCTCAAAGACAGATTGACCTGAACTGTGGAGGTCCTTTTTCATATTTATAATTAGATAAAGTGTGCACACTGCTTTTACCTAAATATTTTCAAGGTTTTAAGTATCAGGGTTTCACATAATCCAGTTCTGTGAAGTTGTAAGGGAAAGCACAGCATTGATACAGGCTGAGGGAACATTTTAGATAAACAAAAGGCAATAAACAAGTATTGTATACGATGCCCCTTCCAAACATTTAATGGCTACCAAATCTATGAGTTAATACTAAGAAAGTAAAGGTGGAGGTGACACAAGTAGGTGATAGTGCAAAGGAGGAGGGAAATTCCACATGCAGTGTGAAAGTTTCACACTTCCTAACAAAACCATAACATTTTCTATAGGTGTTTTAATAACTGGTGCCAAGCTTTAGAGTTTAAAGACAATGTCCTTATCCCATGCAGAATTACAACCTGATAGTATAGGATAAAAGTTCCTTCATTCTGCTGTAGATGTTCTTGGAGTCTGTGTAGCTCCAAGAACTGTGCCTCCTTACATCTCTCTCCTAAACTTATCTAGAGAATGAAACAGCAAACATACCAGCAGACTTGGCCAAAAATTACTCTGAATTAATAAGAGGAGAACCCCTAAAAGTAATGTGTTAAGTGTTCTCTAATTTAAGGGTCAGAAGTTGAAAACAGAAACTGGATACATTATTCAGTGGCAGCAGTAAGTATTTTTAATCCCAAATAGCAAAAAAAATATTGGCCTACAATCCCAGCTGATGCTGCACGAGCTTCAGTGAATCTATACTGTTACTCAAGGCTGCAAGGACAGAGAAGCTGACAACAACATCTTTGTTCTGCTTGTTGCCACAAGCATGAACACTGTACCTGACAAAGTCTCAACTCACTTTCATAGAAGGGCAGCTGCTACTGTCTCCCTCTGCACTACTTACTGCAGGCATGGTGTTAGTTTAAAGGAGAAGGGACAGTGAAGGAAGGAAGGCACCACCTACACAGCCTAGAAGACACCTTTCCTTGCAGGCAGCAGCTCTGCCTTACCTGTTCTTTTAGCTGGAAGGAGGAGTGGTGGGGTAGCATCCCCCAAGCCAGTGGAGTAGCAGGCAGAAATAAAAGAGGGAACACTTTGAGGGTGGGAAGTGGTGGAATGGGAGAAACCATGAAGTTCAAACTGCCGAGACTGTCCAACTGTCCAACCCTGAGGCACCTTCCCTCCCTGCACACAACCACAGGTAGGAAAAGGTGCTACCTGCCCACCTCAAAGGCTGCTTGCCACGGGCAGTGATTTTAATGGAAATCTAGAAGCATTCCTCTACAGCATAGTTCTCTTGCTTCCTTTCCACTTTTTCTACTTTTTCAGTTCTGCTATGTGTTGCACTTCTCTGCCTGGTGCAAAGCCAGCAAGTAGCAGCTGGCCCACTCTGATTTTGAGAGATTTCACTGCTGCCACACTTGCACATTTCAGGTGAGTTCAGAACCAGGTGTCCAATTGTGTGACTTTATAACGGACAGGTGTAAAGATATTCAAAATTAAATAGATGTCAAAAGTAATTTCAAAATATATGTATTAAATAATCTACTGTGAGCAAGGGAAAATAAAATTCATCTTATTTTCATCTAGTTTTCTGAAATAAGTACATCCCCAGAGAGAAACTCGTCACGAAGAGGAAGAGAAAAACACCCGTGCTCCTATCCTCCTGGAAAAATAAAATAAATAAATGTACAAGTAGTTGTATTCAAAAGTGACTTCCAACAAATTTAAAATCCACAATGAAAAACTTCACCAGAGAAACCTGAGTAACAGCAGTAACCCTAGGAAAGTGCAAGATTTGAAGAGGGACTGCACAGCAAATTCAGTGTTTTATTTTGGAATAGAACTTACCCGCTTGGACATCAGGTCAAAGCAGAGCTTGTTCTCACTGGTGCCAAAGTTTATTATGCCCTAGAAAAAGAAACAGAATTGTTTATAGACACATAAAACATGTGAGTACATCACCTTAGCTATCACTTCACTAAATTGCCTCCATAAAGCTTACCAAGGAAAAGTCAAAATACAGTTCACATAAACTTCACCATATAAAACTCAAGACGTGCATCTACATGTGTACATTTCCATATATATCCCAAACACTTGGCTTCTTAGTCAATAAAAATAAACTGTCAGTAAATAAACATGTACTAATAGTTTATACTTCTTTACAGAACATGTTTAACTTAATCTTGAATGCACTCACTATTATACGTAACTAAAAAAAGAAATCCTAAAACAACTCTGAAAAAAACAAAGTTAACACTTCAACAGCAGTTTTAAACAAAGTTTTGGATATGTTTCTTTATCTTAAAAGCATTTGTTTACCATTAATTACTATTCCACTCTACTGATTTGCTCAGAACCATATAAACATGTAGTCATGATAAGTAGTTAAAATCCTGAATTTTTCCCTCTGGAGAGATGACTCTACAGTTCCAGGTTTATGATTTGGCCATATATAATATGACATTAGATCCTGAAGAGTTCAAATCTACTAGTACATTCTCATTATTAGAAGAATTTGGGTAAATAAAATTTTAATATGTGAAAGAAAATTGAAACAACTATACACTTCTGATGTTATTAAAGTACAAGTCTAATTTTAGGTATTTGTTTAAAAAAACCTACCTCCTACATAGACAACAGTTTGTAGAAGCAGAACCCTGTACCTCATAATACACCTTGTAACAAAAACTTCCCTGTGTATTTCTAGTTTAACAATCCAATTTTCATCCCTGCAACACAGCGCAACTAAAGTCAGGGCTAGTAATAGAATATTTTTAAAGTTTCAAGTAGTTAGTTCAGTATGTGAATGAAGGATCTAAATAAAAGTAATCCACATATAAATTATTTACATTTACTATATTTGTTACTCAGTAATAGTTTGCCATGAACTATTAACACAGCCTTTGTGCCACAAGAGGGCTATGACGAGCTACTTAAAACCAAGCAGCTGAGTGTAAATGGGCAGAAAAAGTGCTGAGTGTTATTAACAGTAATTAAAAAAAAGGCTACTACTTAGTAGTTCTACTTCCTGCACCCATCACCTGCAATAATCAGATATAATCAGATAATCAGAGACGGTCCTCAGTGGGCAATAGAGGCCATGAGGTGGAAGGACGAACATGAGCTCTGTTCCTGCAGATTGCTTACATCTTTCAAGGTCTGCTACTGCTATTACTACCCTGATTAAAAAATCAGTGTGCAAACCTGAGCTGAACACAGCATTCATCCTTGGTATCTAAATGTTTCACAAAGCTACTTTTAATTTCTTTTCCTCAAACAAGCAGTTTTATGCACCTTGTATTACTGAGATCAAAAAAAAAAACCCCCACACTTTTAGCACATCTGCCAGCAAACTTCTAAGAAACTTTTTTTTCCTAACAAGGGAGCCAGGAAAACACTTTGAGGCTCTTACTCACGTTGGGGTTCTTGTCTTCATCATACTTGTCAGCATGATAGGCTTTGTACCCTTCCTCAGTGGAGCCCTGAAAAGCGCTGGCAAAGTTGCCACGAGCAGAGAGGTAGGGGCTTCTCTGGAAGCCGCTGGGGTTACATAAGCTGTGCACGTCAACCCTCCTCTTGGCAAGCGGCCGAAGCCTCATCTCCTGCAGGTTGCTCCCTCTTCCTCGCATCCCCTCAATTTCGGACAGCGCCTGGCTGAAGTCCAAACCCTGAGGCATGGCAACAGAGGAGGAGGAGCCACTATGGCTCTGCTTTAGGATGCTGAGCATTTGAGCAAAGACATTGAACATGCGAAACTCATGTTCCCTCTCCAGTTCAAAGCGGCGCTGCTCCAGTTGCATCCGGCGCTCCTCCACGTCCAGATCTCGCTGGAAGCGGCGTTCTTCCATCTGCAGAAAGCGCTCCTCCATGGCCCGCTGGGACGTCAGAGTCTTCAGCAGCAGATCGTCCAGTGGGTCCCTCATGCGCTGCCCTTTCCGCTTCTTTCTCAGCCGATGCAAGGCAGAGAAGCCAGGCCGGGGAACAACGTTCTGGATCCGTGATGAGTTTGCCATGTTTGGCTCACTGAAACCTGTGAATACACAAAAGCAACAAAGAAGAAGTGCAGCAAGCAAAGTGGCGTGGGCATGCCTTGCTTCCTTCTCCTGCCTGTCGCAAGAACAACCTTTTATCTACCACAGAGTTTACAGAAAAAACAAAGTAAAACCTGTCAAGTACATCCTGAGGTTTGCAAACAGGTTTTAAGTTTGTTTTTAACATCACACACTGGGCACACCATGATGCTGCCAGCCCCAGCCCCTTATATGGTCTCTGCATTAACCTGAATAATCATCAGTTCCCTCCACTAGGCTAACTATGCAAGCACCACAGCCAAGAGGACATACCATTTCTTCCTGACCTCAGACACTAACTTCACATTTGTTATCACCTCTTCTTCTCCAACAATTCATGGTCTTCTATCAGCCTGTCCTAGACTGGTTTGAAATCCCCAGGATTCCCAGACTATACCCTTCCTGGTAGCTAAGCAATGCCAACTGCACTTTCAGTGCAGGAATCTCATCTCCTGCAAACAAACACTGTTTCTGCCAGTGACTTTCACAAACATCTTCTGTGCAAGTCCCACCAAATAGCTTAGAAGTCAGGCAATGATTATTCCCAAGTATTCTTCACTGTTGAGTGGGCTAAAATATAAGATCTGGAACATATTTTAAAACAAAGCAAGGACAGTTTACAGTGCAACCATGGCAGAAGAGGGTGTCATGATACAATTCAGCATGAGGACAGCAGACAGCTCTGGTTATGTGATACCAAATAAGCATGCAAATGGGTTTTTTACTGTCAGCATTATATGCAGAAATCTAACTAGCCCAACTTATGGAGCTCTTTGGATTTCATATACAGTATTTCACCTAGCTCAGTAATTCTAGATTATATTTACCTGCAGTGAGATACCTGCATTTTGGGAATGGCCAAAACACCATGAATTCAGATATCAGCTATCTACTTTAAACCTTTCTGGGATGTGGAAACAAGGATCCAAATGTCATTGAGAAAACCAGGTGTCTATCTCTGCACCAGAAATAATCTTCTCTTTCTGGGAAAATGGGGAGGAACCTTATGCTGGAATGTAAAAGGCTATCCCTACCTGAAGGTGAAACACTGGTTTCAATGGGAATCTCCACCCTGGAGATGGGAGAGTCGTTTTGGGCCCTCTCCAAGAAGGCTCTCTCCATCTCCTGTTCTTCAGGGGAGCCCTGCTGGTAAGGCATGGCTTGTGGGGGCTCTGGGGTCAAGCTGTGGTCATCAGAGTTCACCTCCTCACATTTGATTTCCATCAGCTCAGGGTGCTGGGAGTGTCCGAAGGGCAGGGCGGAGGAGGTGAACTGGTGGTGGTAGCTCTCCACCATGCTGCCCTGCAGCACCTGCTGAGCCATCATGCTGCCGCTCAGGGAGCCATAGGCCAGGGCCGGCCGGCTGGTCAGCACCCGGTCCATCACCTCGTAGAACTTCCACGTCCGCCCGCCCCGCGGGGCCTTGCTATTGTCCTTGATCCGCCGGTACTCCAGCTTCATCTTCTTGATCTTCTCCCGGCACTGGTCTCCCGTCCGGTGGATGCCCTTCTCCCGCAGCACCTCGGCGATGCGGTTGAAGACGTGCTGGTTGCGCAAGCAGCTCTCCAGCTCTATCTGCACCGACTCGTCGGCCCAGAGCTGCAGCAGCTCCACCACCTCGGGGTCCGACCAGTTACTGCCGCGCTCGTACTTCTTCCCACGAAAATCCATCGCTCCCGGGGCCGCGCCCGCCGCTCGCCCCGGGCTGCGCACCTGCCCCTGGCCCGCCGGGAGGGGCTTTCGCACCTCGGCCCTCGAGGGCGCCCGGGCGGCCCGGCCTCCCCCAGCCCCTACCGGGCTGCAGGGCCTCGGGCACGGCTCGGCACGGCTCGGCTCGGCACGGCACGGCTCAACCCATCCGCTGGAGCCAGGCGGAGCGAGCTAGCGGGGAGCCGGGCCGGCATGTTCACATCCGGGGTGACGCACATGCGTGCAGCCTTATTCCGGGATAACTTTATCCCGTGCCAGGCGCTTGTCGCGCTCCCGGGGCCGGGCCGGGCTCCGACCGCCGCCGTGGGGTCCGTCCCACCCTGCCTCTTTTCCTGCCGTCCGTCCCTCCGCACGCCCCGGCCCGGGAGGAGGCAGCACCGGCCGTGCCGTGCCGCATCACCCGTGCCGGGCCGTGCCGAGCCACGGCCGCGCCGCAGCCGCGCCCCCCCTCACGGCGCTCGGCACCGCGGCCCCGCCCCGCTCCGCCCGGCGCTGCCAGGCACGGCCCGGCACGGCTTCGCCCGCAACACCCCCGGCTCCGGCCCCGGCGGGGCGGAGACCTCGGGAGCGGTGCCGCCGAATGCCGCCGGTGGAGCGGCCGGCCCCGCTCCCACCGCGCCCCCGGGCCCGGGTCACTGGCGGCGCCTTTGCCGGGGGCAGGCCTGGCCTGGCGAGAGCTGCGGGGGTCGGCGGCAGCCCCTGACAGCGGCTGTCCCCGCTGCCCCCGTGTCCCTCGGGGACAGCAGCGCTCGGGGACACGCACGGGGGCACTGCCCAGCCCTCCTGGACACCAGCGGAGGATCGGTGCCTCCAGCCTGGCCGTCCCGAGCGACCAGGCATTACACCAGCTCGGTCCTTTGTTTACACGCCACCGTCAGATCTAGTACGCACTCCGTCCTCTACCCTGTCTCTAACTGGGCTGAAGGATTGCTGAGAGCGAATGCAAGATTTCTTCCTTTTTCCTCCACACCACACCAGCTCGAATTCCCGGTAGGGATCTGTGATTGCGGAACTCGACTTCACAGAGCGATCCTGCCGCATCAGCCATGGAGGTGGCCTCGAGGCACGCTGCAGGACAGAGCTGGCAGCACCGTGCCACATCGGTGCGGAAATCTCAGTCCAGACCCCAGTCCGGCAGGACAAGGACTGAGCCCTAAGACACCAAGTACAAACATAAACCAGTAATTAATGAGGAAACCAGAATGACACAGTGTGTCTATATCCTGTATCGCCTGTGGCCAACGTACAGGTGGTGAAGCACATACTAAGTTTCTAATTTTCCTCTTAGACCAAGAGATCCACTTCATTGCAGCACTAGGTTTTTTTATCCAACTGTTATTACCTTCATTCTGGATTTTAATAAATCATTCACAGCCTCTATGATTCCATTTCTCAGTCTGTGAAAAGGAAACAGAAAACTTGATCTTGGCTAAATTTCATTAAATACTTTATCTTGGGGGCAGGGGCAATAAAAAAAAGAGGCAAAAGACTAGAAAAAAAAAAAAAGGCTTAGCTTTAAAAATCACACTATCTTTCTTAATAAATGATGACCAGAGAGAGTAGTTTGGATGTTTGGATTTTTTAGTGGTCTGCTGAACTAGAGTTTGTATTTCCACATGTCCTTTTACACGTGCTTTTACTTTCCTGGCTTTTTTTCATAGGAATGGCACTCTATGTTCTACAAGTACATACTTAATTACATAAGGACTTTTACATAGATTGTGTACTGGAGTACACAAAGACCAGGGCAACCATGAATAGAGTCATTGATGACAGAAGTTAAGTAGTAAATATAGATTAAAGGCAGCATGAAATAGCTTTTTTAAAAAGCTTTTCAAAGAAGCCTGAGAGCTTGGCTAGAGTCTGTTATACCTGAGGGCCATAACTTAGCCAGGCATCAGCAGAGTATTCTCAAAAGTAACTTGTCATATATCCTGGCATCAGGAAAAGCCACAGTTTCAAAATGCAAACATTAAAAGGAATGGAATCTAGATTCATGATATAAAAAAAAAATAATAAATCTTGAACAAGTTTTCATGGCTCAGTTGTTTTCACTGATAAAATAATAAATTATTTTGTTATTACATAGGAATTAATAGTAATAATAATAATAACAACAAAGCCTTAAAACCATAAATGCCTTGATGCTGCAAAGAGGATGTCTCATACAAGCAGCATGTGGTTAGCATCTCCGCTGTCACGCTGCTTCCCTCTCCCAAAGAATGCCTTTCGCATCGCCTGCCAGCGGAGAGGCCATTTGGGCGCTCGCCCCGCTGACACTCGCTGAGCCAAGGCTGGGCGCAGCAGGAGCTCTTTGACCTTTCCGCTCCATCCACCGAGGCAGCGCGGTGGGCTGGGGCTGTCCCTTCCAGGCAGGCGTGGTGGCGCGGTGACGGGAGGAAGGTCCCTGCAGAGGGTGCTCCAGCCCCAGCTACCTTCCTCTGCCCGCCACAGTGCGTGTGCGTGGAAACCTGCGGGTGGGAAGGAACATGCGGGGGACTCTGGCAGGCTGGGAACGTGTTAGCGAGAGATTTAATCGGGAGGGCCAGTTGCCCAGCAGGCTCGTTTTCCAAAAGTTCAGTACATGGCTTTCCATGGTTGGGTGTAAAGGGAAGTTTCTGCTGCAGTCAAGTGAAACACAGGAGTGTCTGGCACGGGAAAGGGGCTGGGTTGGCTCTTACAATGCTCTAGATCACAGGAAGGTTACTTCCCAGGATGGGTAGTGGCTGCTGGCAGCACTTAAGTAAAGCCCAGAAACACTGTCACCAAAACCACAACCACCTGATGCCCATTTACATACTGCCTTGGAACCAGACAAGTTGAGCAGACTGAGGGCTTTTTCCCAAGAGGTAACTCTAACAAAAATTCATTGCCATAATTGCAGTTTACAAATGAAAGTCCAAATCAACCATTGAGGCAAAAAACTTCATGCATCTCCCTAGTTTGGTAGATAGTTTAAATAAATAAATATAATATTTTGCAATGTTATCAAACAAATGGGAACAAGTTTAAACTCTCTTAATTCTGCTAGTTCCTCTGGATCTGAGCTACTGCTCTGGCCAGGGATGGTGCAGAAAAGCACCCCCAGGCACTCTCTGTTCTGCATCCAATTCCCCAGATTGCCAAGAGGCACTAAACAGCTGAAGCCAAAGCAGCCTTTATTTTTACATTCTTTAAAAACTGACCATTGTAAAGAAATGGAAAACACCCTTTCTGCTTCACAGACTTCCTAGTTGTAAAGCTTATTAGTAATATTCATTATCCACTCAATTTCCTGCAAAACCGTTCAGGCCAGCCTCTGAAAACCACAAAATGCTGATTGAAACAGAGCACCTCAACCAAAACTAAGGCAGGATCTCATACATACCAGGATCTTCCTTCCAAACTTATTACTAATTCTTCTATTTCTGTATGTTTATTTGGAGACGAGTTTATTATATCTCACTGCCTTTCAGAACTAGCAAGACCAAACAGCCATTACTGTTGCCTTTCTTAGGCTTCTTATAGCATTGGCAGGCACATGAAGGGGTGGGGAGTGTACAATTGGCTTTGCTAAATTAAGGTATCACTTCAATAAGCAGCTGCAGCACATGGGCATGAGAGAAGAGAAGCAAAAGTTTCTGTGAGAGTCATATCCCAACGCATGCCCACAGGGTTATTTAAGGTACTTCACAGTAAAGCCCACAGAGGGCATTAGGACGGTCTTCAAAAATACTTTGTTAAGTGGAGTTGGACAAAGAAAACTGCAGAAGAAAAGAAGAGAAAAGCTGTTCAGCTCCTAGATTTTATGGGACTGATTCTTCTTTTTTTCCCAAGTGTCAGTTTTGTACACCATTAAACAGCACATTGCATTTCCAGTGAAATCCTGAGCACACCCACGGGACCTGTCCCACTGCAAGCAGAGGGTGCTATTGGAAGTGCTGAGTGTTTTCCACCCTCAAAGTCAGTGTAACAGCTGCACAAACAATTAAGGATTTGTGATTTGTACACTTTCTGTGGAAATTACTTTGATAAGTCTGCTTACTCATCCCATGCATATATTTAATGGTATTCCCTGGAGCAGGAAGTGGTGGTTAGACTGGGGGTGTTTCAAGTACTGGCTAACCCTGTGACTAAAACCAAACAGAGATAAAGGGAATCTAAGTGTCTAAATTAATTTTTTAGAGGGATTCAAGAGAAGAAATTGATTCGGATTCCTATAAACCGTTCTCTTCTTCAAGATATCTAAATTTCTGTAGATTTAGCTGCCATAATACGATTTCTGTAAATTGTGACTGAATAAGTGTTTATGTTACAGATTAAATGGTGGCAAATTTCAGGGCAGGAGCAGATTGCACTTCTGCTAAACTCATAAGCACACCACTAGTGGGTGACAGGGCCTTTTCTTCTTCAGGGTGAAGTAACACTGACTGATGCCACAGGCAAGAAATCAAACCAAATATATCTGATAGGGCAAATAAATTTAACTTTCCATATGACACTGACATTTGTCATCCTATATGCAGAGAAAGCTCTTGCAGTGCTTCATGCTCACCACTAAGGCTTGTCAGGCACTCAAGGCCAAGGCAAGCAGAGGCAACTCAGCACTTGCACATTCACACGTACATTTAAGTTCCTTACAGGGCTCATTGAAATCGTCATTTTGTAAACAACAGAAATTTTGCATTGTTCTAGAGAAAAAAACCCTGAGAGGCTTCAGCATGAAGGACATGGTATGGCATCTGACAAAGTGACCTCTGTTTGCAATTTCTTCATAGTCACTGATAGGGAAAGAGGACTGCAAGGAAAAACCATGTTCAAGGGAGTAGAGGTAAAGGAGAGCTACTGGCTCTAGCTAGAAAACGGGCACTAGAAGTTGCTTCCCTCTTAACATACTGTTTATATTAGTCAGGCATGCATTTTTGTCTGGTTTCTTTTTTTTTTTTGGCCATTGCTGCTTCTTGGGCTGACTCTGGTCTGGG